GGGGAGGCATTGTTAAATTAAATGAATGGTGCAGGTGTTGGTAATTTACTTTCCGGATCAGATCGCGGCAGTAAGCCACTTTGGCGCTGTTACTTAAAAGGCACAGCCTGCTTATGTATAATATGTTTGTATTGTATATTTTCTTAATGTTTCAGGCAGTAAAGTTGGAAATTGAATTTTTATATTGACTGAGTGAATACATTGAAAGGCCGAACGAATACATCTACAATCAAAATTAATTACTGAAAAAAGATAAATAAAAAAACATATCACTTATAACTCATAACTCTGTGTATTTACTTTTGGTGGCCATGTCAGAAATACATACCTGTAGGTCCAATCTAATTGGCATAATTCAAGTACTATTATCAAGGGAATAGATGAATGTAATATTTTGATTATAATAATTTCACAATTACTGTCGCAGATCGTGTGCTATGGGCGTTAAAGTCATATCAAGTTTTTATCTTTTTTTTATTTTTCATAAAGTCGGGTTTTAAAGCCGACTTATAAGCAACATATAAATTGCATGTACTTAGCCTATATAGCACATACAAATAAAAAACAAAGGCATGTTGAATAACCATAAATTATGGTAAATATGGCCCATGAAGTATATTGACATACAAGTGCATAAAAAGAATAACAAAATAGAGAAAATAAGAATCCCTAAAAAAAGTCCAAAACGGCAAAATTGAAAATGTTGCAGGCTCGGTTTGATTGAGCCTGTTCTGGACGGTACTGTCAAGTGCCCCTCTCGCACCGGCTTAGGCAGAATTCAACATTTAAAAATGAAATGACAAAATAAACAAAACTAAAATGTTTTCAATACTTGGGAAAGACTAGAATATCATATTGCATATCAGAGTCGATTAAAATGTAATTCGGAAAGAACTTTAGGAATTCTAAAGGTAGACAAACGTTCTGGGTTATATATGAAACTGTAGGGGTATATCTTTTATGTACCATGTATTACTATGTTGTTTAATAGCATATCTAAATACCAGAATATAGAAATATTTGGATGAAAATAACATTATACATTATATGCAAACAGGCTTTCAGCCAAATGCACTTAATTACTGGTGAATATTATAATTAGGAATATTAGTCTGTTTTGAGAACTATGTTTGAAAAAGAATATTGCTTGTCGGTCAAAGCTTGATTTATTTCGTAGATTTTTTCGCAGGCTTTTCATACTATTTTACATTCTTCTCTTATTGTAAACATGAATAATATTGGTAAGATATGGGCCGTATTTGTATGTCTTAAGTGTCCAAGCATCGGCATGAAAAGTATAATAATAATTTAGCGAAAATTGTTAATATTGAGATGTCATTTTTATGATTCTGAAAAATCTCTAGCAGTTTGTGTATAATATTTACAATAGAGAGAACTGTTACAGCGAAATTTATCCATAAGTGTTGTTGTTTCTAAATCGTTATAACAAATATCCCCCAGGTTTTCCTTCAAATATGGGAGATGGTCCAGGCTTTCTCACTCTTATCGCATGGCTTGGAGCTTTCTCTTTGTTCTTACTAACCCATTATACTCAGTACACTTTCAATGAGAATCACCGTATATATCCAGTAACGCCGGAATGTGAAAATAACGCACGATTTGTGAAATAAGTGACGCAGAAATTTGCAATAAATTAGATCTTGACAAACTTTCAACATTTTTATTATTTGACAATTGTTTACTGAAATAAAATTGTTATTTGTGAACGTGCTGCCCACGTCTGATCTTGTTAGAAAATAAGAACAATAAACTAAGTTTGCAAATAAATTGAATATAAAAATAATAGAAAATAATCAAGAGAAGAAGTGTCTGTATATTTTATGCCTGAAATAATGCGCCAGTAAAACTTGAAAGTCTCCATATGTCCTTAATTGTGTTGGCGTGACAAAGCAATTGGCTGTAGCAATTTGCTTGGTGTTTAATTATTTTTTTTTCTCTAATATAAGGAAGTAACTTGTATTCAAAAGATATTTTACTTAGAAACTATAATGCCCAAAATTTGTAAAAGCATGTGTTACAGGGTGAGAAAAATGTGCAGCCTGACCGGGACTTGAACCCGGGACCCTCGGAATACCGTTCCGCGGGTCTACCGACTGAGCTATTTGACCGCTTACACATCTTCTCCCCTAAATAGTAAACAGTTTTGAACCGTGACATACATTACCACAATATTGAAATTCGTTTTCGAATTTTACAATGCTATGTACACAGCAATGCTAATTGCATGTTTGTTTGTTTGTTTGTTTTGGGTTTTACGTCACATCGACACAGTATAGGTCATATCGCGACGTTCCAGCTTTACTAGTGGAGGAAGACCTCAAGTGCCCTTCCGTGCATTATTTCAGGCACGAACGGGCACCTGAGTAGAACCACCGATGTTCCGTAAGCTAGCTGGATAGCTTCCTCACATGAAAGAATCCAAAGTCCCTGTCGGGATTCGAACCCACAGCGGTGAGGGGCATGTGGTTTGAAGTCAACGACCTTAACCACTCGGCCACGGACGCAATGCTAATTGAACTTTGAGCTATAAGCAGTTACAGCCCACGTTGGGCGCCAAATGTTACAGTGTGAGAAAAATGTGCAGCTTAACCGGGACTTAAACCCGGGACCCTAGGAATACCGTTCCGCGGCTCTACCAACTAACCTATTTGGCTGCTTACACATCTTCTACCCTAAATAGTAAACAGTTTTAAACCGTAACACATAACCATATTGTCCTCTGCTAAAGTTAAATAAATTGTAACCTTTGGGCTACTCTTAGGGTTTCTTATTATATGTTAACTTGTATGGGAAAAACATATGATCTACCGTAAGAGTTTATTCTAGGCATTACTATAGACGTTTACAAAACTAACAGGACTTATGACCCTAAAAGAATCCACCAGTACAGAGCCAGGTCACATCCATACGACTGACCATTGCTCATTTGTACAAATACATTAAATATCTAATAGCAATCTCTAAGACTTTGAATGAACTGTTCCAAGTTCACAGCTAAGCAAAACCATTTCATAAATTTACCAGGTAAAGGGTGACATAGACTAAAGATAGGTTGAACATATTTTGGTTATTTACTCAATGTACATGTAAATGGAGAACTACTATAGATGTGTATGTGGAAGATTTCATCTATGTCTAAAAGTGGACTTCTTCATGTCTAATAACTAATTAAAGGTGAGAACAATGAAAAATTCTATAATTTAACAAAGCCCATTTTCATAACTTCGATCTCAATAGGTATTAAAAAATTGATACCCCGTTGCTACCCCGTTGTTTCCTTGAGTAAGAAAACTTTCACGCAAAGCTTCGTACTCACTTCAACAAAGACTTGTACAGCTCTGTGGTTTCGTGGACGGGTTCGAGACTGTGTCTTTTTTTCCTACGCAATCATACTAAAATAAATTCTGTATAAAATGAATTAAAGTTTCCCCACAAAAATATATTTGAAAAGTGCTGATACTCGCCAATTAATGGCGTTAAACATGTGTACCAGTTCAGTACCATATATAAAAAAAATCACATTTTCCGACGTTAACGTGAAGCACTATTCCCGTACACCGACGTTACCTCATAGAAACGACTTAAATCCCCTTCAATTTTCCATCTCACCAGAATTTAAGTATTTGTCACTTGCCTACCTAAAATCGAAATTATGCCGTATAATATAATGCATTGTTGTACTTAAGAGTCGACAAAAAGCAAAAATCTCGCTCAAAACGATAGTCAAGTTCACGAATGATCTTGAAAAGTAAACAATTTCGTGGAAATAATCTTGATGAGAGATAAAGAGTAATGTCTTTGAAGCCGTATACATGTATTGATTTTTTCAGTTTGGTTAAATAAAAAATATATTGGTCAATTTATTTACCGCGTTGGAAATCCTGTCAGGTATCCGCCATTTATTGCACAATTCTGCGTTACTTATTGCACGAATAGTGCGGTATTTTCACATTCCGGCGTTACTGGATATGTACACGTTCGGGTGGTATTGATATATAGCAGTACAGTTTTGTCATTGATTCGTATAGGTAAAAAATATCAGTATAGTTTTTTCAATGAGACTCCAATGGTTGAAGCGGTAACACTCCTAAGTAGCAAAATAATAATAATAATAAGAAGAAGAAGAAGAAGAGGGGGAAGAAGAAGAAGAAAGAAGATTAATGAAATGAATTTTTTCTCATATAATTATGCAACTGCTGAAATCAAAAGGTACATCAGCTGAATGAATGATTTCCACTGAAAAAGTCCTTAAATCTTGAATACGAATAACTTTCTCCACAAACTATGCAATAGAAAGAGCATCGAAACACGAGGCTATCTGATTATATTGTGACAACAGGGAACGTGTTTTTATGTTTGACTATATAACATCGCGTTTTCACCATCGTACCATCGCGTTTTCACCATCGTACTGGTATCGCGATTTCACCGTATCATCATGTTTTCACCATCGTACCATCGTGTTTTCATCATCGTGTCATCGTACCATCGCGTTTTCACCATCGTATTAAAACGTGTCTGACAAAAACTGTGCAGTTTACGCGCAATGTACAAAAATTCAATGAACCAAAACAGTTAACCCAGGCAAATACAAATGACGTCATCAACACTAATAATAGATAAGGAAAATCCCACGCCAATTCATAATTAAAAGATTTTCTATGTAGGAAATGCTGCATAGATGGTGGAACATTTTTTTGTTTGTTTTATCGGTAGTTTTGTATTTTTTTATTTAAACCTAAGAGTCTACGGGAGGGGATACCCTTACTACATCCACCCAAATATCTGCAGGCACCAGTAAATATATATAGTGTATATTAGACATACACTCTAATTAAAATGAGTTCCCTAACATGGCAGTTCCCCTGCCGCCTTTGACTACCAGTCGTGCCGCCCTGAACTTGGCCTATTTTTCGTGACCCCTTATTTTCGCTTGACTAATCAGCATACTTCACGTACTTTGATGCATACGAAAAATCCCGGAAATTGCCGCTTACTGTTTGTATTTATCGCGTGCAGTAGTTTTCTTTCAAATGCGCATGCGCCAGTCATTCTCTTTCGCGAAAAGATGGCTACCACTGCAAAACAAGCTAAGACCGAAGAAAAGAACGGCGCTGAAAATGCCGATGAACAGGCCGGTAAGACAAATAAAATTAATAAATATTTAGAACAATACCTTTTGAAGCTCTGCAGATAAAATTATTAAGTTATTATTGTTAATTTTTTGATATATCACAATTTGTTTCAATACCATGCTCGAACGAGAGAACGACGAGCACGATTTTCTTTTGTGATTGTATGTTTCTTTGTGAAACATTTATGTTGCATGGTCATTTCATTTTTGTTTAATGCGTATCATTAAGAGAATTGATTTTAACGTGGAAATACTTGACTACATTAAAAAATGAGTTTTTGATCGCCTATTTCCTAAACCGAAAGCAGGTTTGAAAATTATTTTTATGACGTCACTGTGCGGCATGTTGAAATTAACCCAAAGCAAAAGAAAGATAAACATTTGATATGCTTTCAGACAAAGAACAACAAGAGGCGATCGAGCAGATAGACGAGGTTCAAAATGAGATAGACAGACTGAATGAACAAGCTAGTGAAGAAATTTTAAAAGTAGAACAGAAATATAACAAATTGCGCCAACCGTTTTTCCAGAAGCGGTCTGATTTAATAGCTAAAATACCAAATTTTTGGGTAACAGCTGTATCCTTTTTTACAAAATTTTCACATCATCATGTCATGTATTATCAACACTCTTATAACGCTGTGACCGGGTGAAATTTTACTTGTTAATGTAATATGTAATTTTTGTACAACATTTTTTCATCACGGGACATTTGCTTGTAACTTCACAAACTTAGATGAGACCATAAGAGGTATCTTCATTCAAGACCCATAACTATCTCTATCTTCCATTAATGTCAAACCCTTTACGGGGATGTAGTCGAATAGACATGTCTGCGCGCCATATTCGCAAGAAAGTTAATAAAAGTTGTTTAAAAAGAGGATAAAAGAATATTTAATATGTTAAAAACAAGGGGTTGGAAAACTAGGGTGAGACATGTTCAATGCAAGCTATGGCTGCACTGAATTGCCAGGGCCTTTTTACCTTCTATAACAGGGGCC